GTTATTACGTGTCGAAAAATAGCGAAGGTGTTTGGAGTGAACCCAACGACGATATCCAGACTACATTGAGAAAGATGAAGAAAGGCGCGGTGTTGCCGAAGTACAATCATAAGGTAAGCTATTTGATGTGAATTGGATAATCTTAGCAATATAGTGATTTTGCATTTGCAAAATTGCTGAAGCTGAAGTTCGATGCTGCTGAAAATTGAATTGTTTCCTTAGCTGGAATTTCTCCTTCCAAGAATTTGCTAACAAGGGAAAGATGACTGTTTAAAATGAGATGTATACCACCTGATGCGTCTCCAGACGCTGATTCCAAATCTGCCTTCCAAATCTGCTAAACGACTCTCCGAACGGAGTTATGAAGCGTAATAGCTCAGTGGTGATGGTCCGGGGTGGCAGGTAGAAGCTCGTAGGATCGGTTCCTTTTGCGAGTTTGTTGCTTTGCTTTTGTCTGCAACATTTCTAGAGAGACTTTCATAGTAGTTATTTCTTCAATTCTTGTCTAAAATTGCCTAAAAGAGACTGCGAGCAGTTGCTGACAAGTTAACCCCTGCTCCCGCATGACTGTTCTCTTCGCCCGTAGTGCGCGTGCCACACGTTTTCGCGCAAGACGAATTTGATATTCGTCATAAGGGTGCCAAGTTACCCCATAGAACGAATTTTCAGCAAAATCTGAAATTTTGACCTAACCTGAAAAGTTGACCGGGAACAGTGCTAGACTTGTCAGCAACTGCTGCCAAACTCTTCGTGTAGGCAATTTAAGGTAACTATTGATTGAATAACGTGTATAAAGTTTTCTCAGAAATGTAGCAGATAAAAGCAAAGCAACAAACTCGCAAAGGAACCGATCCTACGAGCTTTTACCTGCCACCCCGGACCATCACCACTGAGCTATTACGCTTCATAACTCCGTTCGGAGAGTCGTTTAGCAGATTTGGAAGGCAGATTTGGAATCAGCGTCTGGAGACGCATCAGGTGGTATACATCTTCATTTTAAACGGCCACTTCGACCTACCATCCTTCCCTTGTAAGGTAGAACTGCAGTCTATGTGATAATGAATGACATTGACAGTGGTTGTTTTGCATTAGTAGCGATTGATAGCCAGTCTTTGATTGAAAATACACCATCAACGATAGCTACTGCATGCGGCGATGGCGGCAGTATGTGACCTTTGCGCAGGCGTTTGCGAGGCGATTGTTTTCCCTATGTGTCACCGGGTGAAGCTGACTCGCGAAAAATAGCCCCTCAAGTGTAATATCGTATAGATTAGTCATATAGATCATATGGATTTTCTGTCGGCTTACCTATTTGTAGTGCATATTAATATGCATCATTAAATTCTGAAGTTGAAATGGCTACCATTTTGGGATGGCTGCAAATTGAGGGAGCATTGTTTTTCAGGCTGTTCCCGCCGAGAAACTTCTTGAAGAGCCAAGTTCCAATTGTCAGGAAGAGTCGCAAGGGCTTCCAAGGGTAGTTAGCGCGCATTTTTGTCTTTGGGTAGTATGTAATGGAAATATCTGCTTTCGTGTGCTATTGGAAAGGCTCTCATTTAGCCAGTTCCCGCTGAGAGACTACTTGTAACGCCGAGTTCCCACCAAGTCGTAGAGTCACCCAGGATTCCGGAGCATGTATCGAGTGAGCTTTTTTTTGAAATTTGTCAGAAAGAGTAGAACCACTCAGGAATTAATCTCTCTGGGAGGGTTACTCAGATGTTTAAGGTCTTTGTCATCTTTGGTACTTCATAGAGTTAGAAATGGTTTGGGTAGCTCTGTTGTAGGACATCTCCGCGAAGAAATTGGTGCAGGCCTGAACACAAGAGAGAGTGACACGGATTCCTCTTCGCGAAATACTTTGGACAGACGACGAAGGGCTGAAGGTCTGTTTAGCTTCTCCAATTTATGTGCATGGTATTTGACACCATAATCTTCCTTCAGATGAAGCCTGCGTTATGGTTAAGATGCCAAATTCCGATGGGGAATCCAAGAAAGAAATTGTTGTGGCCACGGAAAACTTTGATCATGATCAGCTGCGGCTTTTCGAGGAAGATGGTATTGAGGGACAAATTTTCAAACTTCACTAAATTCAACTTTTTGCATTTCTTACTCATTCAGGTTATACAGCTCATACTCTGTTTATTGTAGTTGTCGCTGTTTAAGAAGGAGTATCGACTTTTTGAGTATGGCTTTTGACCCTCCTTCTTCGCCAGCCATTATCCGCTTTTTCCCGATCTTAGGAGGCGTAACTTCGATCCTTACGCCAGGAAATACATTTCCACTGACTTCTTGATTTCAATCTTCTCGGGGAAAAAGGGTTGCGTCATAGGACCTAGCATACCTCTGTTTCTACCTGCCAGACAGTTAGAGCAGCGCGACCCCTCAGGGGAAAGAGTGCTTCATCAGTGGAGGGTAGTAGCGCTGCTCTAACTGTCTGGCAGGTAGAAACACAGAGGTATGCTAGGTCCTATGACGCAACCCTTTTTTGTCCCCCCAGAGGATTGAATCAGAGGAGGGGGATATATCCCCCTGGGGGAAGGATTGAATACCGCCCCAGGACTGCCTCTAGACCAGTTAATAAATCTCGTGGTACCTCCGCCTATTTTGATGATGTCCCAACCCTCTTTTTCTTCTTTTTTTTTTTTCTTACATTTATATGCTTGGCGGCAAACCGCGCCCACTTTGGTGCATGCTCCGCCCACCGTCGGAGGTTCACTTCCTTCCCCTCGTCGGCCTCCATCCACTTTTTTCCGATCTCTGGAATTTTTAGGAACTGAGTTCTAGGTCTTGCGACGAACTCCATCCATTGTGGTACATGCCCCGCCCTTCTTCTTCTTTAGCGTTTGTCCCGCTTGTTGGCGGGGTCCGCTTTTCTGATGTGCTGACGCCACTTTTCCCGATTAAATGCTTGGTCGGGGTGGATGTTAACCGACTTCAAGTCTGCGTGCAACGTATCGAGCCAGCGCTGTTTCGGGCGCCCCCTAGGCCGCTTTCCGGGCACGTCAAGGTTGAGACCGATCTTACGGACACTGTCATTATTCGCGCGAAGAGTACCATCGAAGACGGGCTTCGCGCATCTTGTCGACCGAATCGACCCTGACGACTTCGTTTCGAACGTGGTCTAATCGTGTGACTCCAGCTGTCCAACGCAGCATCTTTTCCCCATCACACTTGGTGCATGCCTCGCCCACCACTAAAAATTGACTTCCTTCCTTTTGCCGGCCTCTATCAACTTTCTCTCCGGTCTCTAGAACTTGCTGGAACCACTTTTGAAGTTTTACAACAACTCTGCCCACTTTGTTGAATGCCCCGCCCACCGGCAGCAGTTGACCTTGTTTGAACCACCACCTCTGTCCACCTTTTTCCGGCTCTCTAAGACTTCTCCCGAACCCGAATTATGAGGACTTGTAGAAAATGCTGTACACTTCAGAGCGCGCTCCACCCATTGTGGGCAGGCCTCCGCCCACGTCATGTATGCTGGGAACACCTTAGACATTGCTCCCCTACACCAATTTTTTCTGCTCTGTAGGCTTTCTCCCAACCGAGTTATGAAATTTTTCATAAAGCACTGCTTTTTTAGAGAACGCCCCGCCCACCGGGGGTGGGTCTCCCTAATTCGATGTGGCTTACCAATGCACACCTTTACCCACTTTTTCCCCAGTTTCGAGGCTGTTTTGTCACTGAATTTGAAATCTTGGTCGTCAGTACAGTCATTTCGATGCACGCCACGCCCACTGTGGGCGGGGCTCCGCTTAGCTGATGTGTGTTTTGTACTTCGTGAGACCTGGCCCACCCATCCCACACCCGGTCCCTCCAGGCGGATCCCGAGGAGCTAGGGAATTTCGTGACAGACATACAGGCAACTGACGAGAGACGGACGGACAGGCAGACAGGCGAAGCTTTATAGGAAGTGGGATACGCTCGAAGTGGTGATACTATGTTTGCACCTCGAGGGAATTAGTTGGCGCTCAAGCTAGCGTTTCCATCATTGCAGAGTAATTTGGCGAAAGACATCTGCTCAAGATGGGTGGAAATCCTATTTCCTTGGGGTGGATATTGTTCCCGTTCACCGTAGGAGGGTGGTGTGACGTTTCTCACCATTGTGCCAATCATCACACCTAATTTTTCTCGACTTACGGTTAGTGTTCCATGGTTTTGTTTTTGTACAAAATGTTTTGTTATAAGTTTCAGAGTATCTCCTTTTTCTCTGACTTTTTTCAATAAATATTGATACACCACAGTTTTCAATTGTATCAGCAAGGAGAGTTATGCTTTTCAACTACTTAATGTCCCTTTCCTTTTTTTGGAGGTAATTTTATGAAACCCTTTTCAATTCAGTGTTTGCATTTATTTTAGAGTTTCATTGGATCTTTACTATTTGTGATATTGTAATGAAAGCAGTTTTCAGTAATGAAATGAGCCAGCTCAGACAGGATATCCGCATTTGCCTGCTGTACGAGTTCAAGCTTGGAAGCAGTGCCGAAGTCGCACTCAAGAACGTGGAGAGAGCGTTTGGCGAGAAGTGTACAACCATTTCCACTGTGAATAAATGGTACAGCAGGTTCGAACGTGGCATTGAATCTCTGGAGAATCAATTAGGATCGACTGTGGTAGACGACGATGCCTTGGAAAAAATGGTTTGCGACTATCCATACATGACAAATGCCGATTTAGCAAGATATTTCGGTGTAAATGCTGGAACAATCACTAGACATTTGCAGAACATTGCACAAGGCCGAAAAATGCTGTGCCGTCTAAGAGAACCTCGAAAGGTAGTTGCTTTTCTCTCACTTTTTTGCACTGGTCTGAAAATTTGCTTTATGCTGGCTATTCGTTCAAACTGCTTAAATGTACACGCATACATTCCATCTTATACCTGGGGCGGTATTCAATCCTTCCCCCAGGGGGATATATCCCCCTCCTCTGATTCAATCCTCTGGGGGGACAAAAAAGGGTTGCGTCATAGGACCTAGCATACCTCTGTGTTTCTACCTGCCAGACAGTTG